ATCTCCTTGGAACTTGGCAGGCTTCATGCACTCAGAAGGGGCTACAATTCTTGCAAGTTTCATTCAGATCAGGCCAGAAATGACAGTTATAGGCTGTTTTGAGCTTCCCCATTATAGCCTATGGGTGAAACGTCAAAACAGCGTCGAAACCTCGAAACTGTTTCGACGAAACAAAATGGAACAGCAGTTTCGAATCTAAAAATTTGAACTGAAACGCTGTTCCATCAAACCATCAAAACACAAGTCGAAAGGGACCAGTGCCGTTTTGCACAGCCCTATCAAAAGAGGAGCATTTGAGATATATACACACATGCATACATATTTGCATTCATTTTGTTTTTATTGAATTCTTTACTTCCTACAGCTTACATTTGATGAAATACGATCCCATGAAGACGGCATTAGATAGTGTTGTTTCAGGAGCTTAAATGCAGAAGCAGGTCCAGAAGCAAGCCCCAGGCTGGCTGGGCTAACCAGGTGCAATTTATGCCCCCAGTCACTGTCTACATGTGCATTTTGGCTCAGTAAATGCTCCGCTGTGAGATAGTACTGTCCCCAACAGCACTAGCCTACAGTGGAGTTAATTAGTTTGCTGCACCCTATTAGCAGCACGTCTAGACTGATGCTTTATACGGAGCCAATTAGCCAACTACAGTAGAGCGCACACGTAGATGCACCCACTGAGACCTGTAGATATACATAGCTAGTGAACAAAGTAGGAAGGCAGTCTACAAGTGCATGGAGAAGGGGGCTTCTTGTAGACTAACCCATGCATCACAAGAGATTGCAATAGAGGGCAAAGTGAGGCCATTCATGAAAAGGATAATCTTTTTCCCTGATTCATAAATTCCCCCTTCCTCTTTGTGGGAAGTTCTAGGCTTCTTTTCCCCACTGTGAACTTTATTTGGAGGTTGATTCTGTGTTTTATAAGAAAAACAAAAGTGCTCTTTTTTCCAGTGTCACCATCAGAATTGAAATAATATTAATAAAAGGACTATGTTTTACAAGTGGTAGAAGAATAATGACATTGGGGGTGAGAAACAGAGGAACTGAATAAAGTTATTTAGGTGTTCAAACAGCAGAGCCAATCTGTGACTGCCTTTTTGTAGGGGGTAAAAGTGCTAATGCTGTGGGCTGGTATATAGGCTTCTCCACAAAGGAAGCTCATAGGCATTTCCACCCACTTCAAGGCTCCTCTATGGTGGCAGAATGGTGTAAAAGTTTATTAGTGTAACTGAAAAGTGAGCTCTGAATTTCAGAGAGCAGAAGCAGCAGTTCAATGCTTCCCACAAGACATCTTCAGTGTGCTTAAATCTAGGAGAGAGAGAAAAGAGAGTTCATTTTTCAGACCATACATTTATTTTCCTCTGAGCTGAAAGTGCCAACAATAATGGTATCTATTCAGATCCGAGGGGAGGATAATTATTTTGAAGTGGACACCTGTTCCTCATATATAATCCCTTTGAGAGCAGAAATAACCTTCCTAATATATCTGAAAGTACCATTGCCATGTTCACACAGCCTTGCAGAAGCCCCTTTCAAGATAAATGCTAGAAGAAATAAAAGGGAGACTTCTCTATAGGCATGCTGCCTCAGTGTTATGTCAACTAAAGTGTTTCTTTTCAGTGCAATTGATCTCATCCATGCTGGCTGTGTTTTTCTTTTTTTTTTGTTACAGCAATTTATAGTTTTATATTTAGTAATGCGTGTGTGCTTTTTACGCACTTCAGATTTCTAAAAAGCAAGAAGCTCTCAATGAGGTAGGGAGCATATATTTTATGATCTTTCACAGCAACTTTCTGTGGGACAGGAAAGTTGATCTTGTGGTTAAGGCACTGGAGAGATCTATTTAGTTTCTTGTTCTATTGCAGACGTGTGTCTGACCTTGAACAACTCACTTGTTATTTCTCTGCCTCAGTTCCCCATCTCTAGTGATAATTCTGCTTCCTTTTGCCCCAGCCATTGTCCCTCCATGCAAACTTAAAGCCCTTTGGGACAGAGATTGGTTGTTTTTTTACATGCTTATACATTAACAGGGGCTCATTCTCATTACTATAGACCAAATAATAACATAAATAATACCAAGAAGATAAGGACAGTCACTGGATTAAAGGTAGGACTTTGTGAATTGTTTATTCATAACAATTGTCAGTAAGAAGTCCTCACCTTAACTGGTGTTGAAAATGGTTTGGTGGGGAATATAGATGAGTCAAAACCATTTTCAGCATTATTGCTGAATAGATTAAACACATTATTATCTGAGAATATGTTTCAGATGGTGCATTATTTTTTCCAGTAACAGCTAAATCATTTTCAACCTTGCTTGACAGCAACTGTCAACAATAGATTGTTCTTCTAACATAGCTGGGATTGCAACATTCAGAAATAAACATTCCCAATTTCACTCTTGCAAAATTGTAACTGAGAGTAAAATGTGTCCATTGGTACAATAACAAGACTTCCTTATAGGATAGCTCAGTGTTTCTTTTTGTTCAAAGGGGTGAAATTCACCCCATCCACATACAGTTGGGTATTTGGGCTCCATACAAGCACAATGCAAAGCAATTGTGGGATTTGAAAGGTCAGCGGTACTAGAGATAATATACATTAATTTTTTCTTCAGGAAATCTAAATATATGTATTTAAATATAAATGAATATAGGTCCGTTTTCATTCTTGAAGCTTTTCCATTATTCTCTGTGGTTAAAGAAACATTGAATCATTTGTTATAAATCTGGTATTTTATTTTTCTCAGAGCTCACCAACTCAAAGACGGAAGCTTGAGTACAGAGGGTTTTTTTCCTAATTAAGCAACCTGTTATGGCACGTACAGTAATGACTAGAGTTTCCTTTAAAAGCCAGACTTGTCATTTTCTCAAAAAAAATGACAGTACATGAAAATGAGTGAGTTCTACATTCAACAGACCTGCATAGTCCCTTTTTAAATCTTCATGTCTGATGTATTTGAGGTTATCTTTAAAGGAACTCCTCCTTGTTCCGAAGGATTGTTCTTAGTTTCTGAGTAGAATTTGAAGTTTCAGTGATATCTTCTTCCAACCTCCTTTGCATGTATCCTCTCAAATTCTCAGTCACTTGCAAAAAACAGGCAGGAAGTTGATTTCTATTTACATGCACTCTTTGAGGTTCCTGCACATGGCACAGTTAAATGACTTTCTTTGAAACAATGACAAAGAAAGCTTACAGCTGTCCCCACCCCACTGGAAGGAGCGGTTTGGCTAGTATATTCCTTCGGTGGAATAATAACAATATTCATTCTTTCTGGCCAGCAGGAGAAGAGCTGAGCGACTCTTAGTGATAACACGTTACTAGTCACAGGAGTTATCATGGCCACTCAAATGGCTTTGCAGAGCCCGATAAGGGTAATTAGCATCTTGTGGCTAGCTAGATATGAGTGAATCCTACTAGGGAGTGTCCCAAGAGCAATGCTGCCAGTGTGTATCCCTGTTCCTAACGCCAGTCCATTGAGTGACCGAGTGGTGGGGGAACAGGAGAGAAGCTGCAGATGCCAGCTATGAAAGTTTTACTGTTTTAATCCCAAATCCCATGTGAGTTTTGTGAAGGGAGATCCTTCTCCCCAGCAGCGGGCAATATTGGCGTGTCAGTGGGCAAGTGTGGGTATGTTCATGTGGTATTATACAATGCGGTGATTCTCCACCAGGCTGCTGCGCCACCCTGGGGTGCCCCCAAGATCCTTTCAAGCAATGGTGGCCTTGGGGTTGTTGGGGCCCTGAGCAAGAAAGTCATTCGGGGTCCCTTGGAGGCTTAATTTGGATGACCTATAAGCAAGTTGGACATTTGTTGCAAAAGTTTGGGGCCCCCTAAAGTGTGCCACGCCGAAACCACCCTGCCGCCGCTGCCCAAGGTCTTTGCAACAGACGGGCAAAGCCTTTTTCCAGCGTGTTTTGAAACTTATTTTTGTGTTGCCAAAATAAACCGGCCAACGCAAAAAGCTGGCATTTTCCTCATCTCCAACCCAGGGTCCCTCGAGTCTCAGAAGGTGGAGAACCAGGGCGGTAATAGATCAGAGCTGGTCCAAGTGTAATTGGTGCCCTAGGCGAACTGTGTACCTCGGCATTCCCACACTTCGATATAGAGGAAAAGAAGTCTAGAATGAACTTTTACATGTACTTATTTGATATTCAAAATGAACAATAAAATAAAAACTAATTTTTGTTATTGTTTCACACTTTTCATTAACCCTAACGCTTATAAGAGCCAACCAGAGCTGTTACAGGCAATCCCTTATTCTCTGGGTCTAAAAAGACAGGCGGGGGGAAAACCCAGCAGAACTCATATTAAAGGGGGTGGGGGGGGTCCCTTCACTCCTGCCTCCTCTCAGGGGAGCTGAGGCGGAGCCCGCCAGCGAGGAACCCCCTACGAGCGAGCGAGCGATCGACCCAAAGGTCCCCCCACCCCCCACCTCAGGGACTAGCCACACCAGCGCGCGCGGCTCCTGATTGGTTGGCACTGTCTCGCGCCACACCCCACTGCCAACGGCTGCGCCCTGCCGCGCCTGCGCAGATCCCCGCCCCCCTCTGCATTCTCCCGCCGCTCCCCCCTCCCCTCCGCGCGTGTCCAAGGCTGGCCGCCAAGCGCGGCAGCGTCGCGACGCCCTGACAGGAAACCTGTCCGCGGGTCACGGCAGCGGCGGGCGCGCTTTACGGCCGCTGGATGAGTGGAGCAGGGAAGCGGCGGCGCTGAGGAGACGCGGGGGTGAGCGCGGGCGGGAGGCGGCGGCGGCAGCGGCCTGGGGTAGGGGGAGGAAGGGAGGGGAAGCGGCGCGGCCTGCCTTTGTTCGCGCCCCGGCCCTGCCTGACGCACCGCCCCCCGGCCGCGGGCCGGTGTCTCCCGCAGGACATGGCCGAGGTACCGCCGGGGCCTAGCAGCGTCGTGGCGGCGGC